GACTTGTGTCCCGGCGGCTGGAACCCCCAGGCTACGACAGAGGGGCCCGAAGCAAGCAGACACAGCGAAGCCAGGAGGTATCTGTGCTTCCCCTCAAGCTCTACAACGACCCTTGGTCTACAGCACCAAACCATCGGCCGTGAGAAGCAGCGACCGCCCTGTTACTTGTCCGTAGCCCTGATTTGGGTTACGGCCGGGTCCCAGCCCTGAAGAGCCTGCGCAGCTCCCCGAGGTCAGCGGGAAGCAAGATCTGCATCCGAACGAAGCAGCAAGGTCAATCTGGAGAGGCAAGGGGGGGGGGGATGTTAGGACTTTGGCCAGGCCACACAAAGTCAACGTTAGGGCAATCCCTAACCGCTGGCGACGGCCCGGCCAGGCGGGCTCTCTGCCCCCCCCCAGCCACCCCCGCGCAGGCAGGAGTGGCAGTGGCCAAGTCTCCATCTGCTCCAGCTCCCTCCCGGCGGCACGCTCCGGCCCCGAGCCTCGGCCGCGCCATGCATCAAACTGACAGATACCAGAATTGCCTTGGAGAAGCAGTTTTATTATGAAACCGAGAATGAAATGCAGTGTTTGCCCTGGCACACTACAAAACATTTCAAGCAAATAACCAGCAAAAAGATCATGAGCCAAATAGAAAATACATCTTACAAAATCTGACATACAAAAAAAAAAAAATCAGAATAACGTTATTACATTAAATCAGGAAGGAGCAAGGGAGCTTCGATTCACTCAGCCACTGACAACCCAAGACACACAACCTAACCCGGACCCCGTGGCTTTTAGCTGCCCTTTGGGAAAGTAAACAAACGTCCAAGGTATTGCTTAGAGTCACCGAGGGCACACGGACGCAGTCAGACTGCAAACAGTAATGGAACAGAAGCGGTTTGAAGACTTCTACGTTAAAAAATATATATATATTGCTTATTAAGAATCAGGTATAAGCCTCTGAAAAGCTCGATTTGTACACACGGCCGCTGTTCTCTAGCGTCTTAAGGAACCAAGCATGGACAAGGCAAACATCTCTCCGGTAAGAGGTTACGGTCAGAAATAAGAATCCTAGGACATCAGTCTTCAGACAAGAGAAGGATTCCAGCCACAATGCCCATCTAAAAATCCAAGCAGACAGACAGATTTCTGCTTAGGCCCGGGGCCGAGGTATCTGTGAGGGAAAGCTCTGCACAGGGTGGGAGATGCAGCGGGAACGAACGCTTGCGAGTGAAACTAATCCTCCAGGCAGGCAAAGGAGGAAAGGGCAGCAGGCAGCTCCTCTCTGCCCCAGCGCCGCCAGTCCAGCACCACCGGCTTCGGGGGGTCCTGCGCTTCTCCACTGCCACCACTTCTTCCACCCACGCAAGCCACCCCGGGGAACTGCTCTTTACGGCTCCCCAAGAACAAAGGTGCCGTCTGAAACGCTAAAGCGGCAAGGAGCGCTTCACAAGCTGCGGCAGCGCTGCCTTTCACCTGACTCGGACAGATTTTTCTTCCGTAATTTCACCAAAAAGGGTTACGGACAACGCAGCAGGAGGAACCCTGTTCCTGCACAGCTACCAAGAACTTCCACGCTCAAAACACAGGTCCCAGGAAAACGCCGGTGCTCTCCTGCACCGCCCGGCAGCTCGGAGAAGACTGGGGCTTTAATTCTTCAGCCAGTCTGCGAATTAAACCAGCTTGGGAGCTACTCTGAGGCAAAGAGGGGACAAGAGAAAATCCAGCCCGAGAACACACACGGGACAAAGCGGCTCTGCTGGTTTGTCGTTTAAGGAGAGAAACGTATCACTGACCTTAGGGGAACCTGGAAAACGCAGGTGAAACGCCACGAGCCGCAGATGGCTTAACAAGGCGGGATAAATGAAGTGGTGAGAACAGGCTCTATTTGCAAAGGCGTTGCTACGTTTTCCTCCTCGTTTTAGGACACCGGTCTTGATCTAGGGTTAACCGGCAATTCTTGCTCTGACAATTCCCATTAGCCTCACCCTGGGAAGGAAGGCAGTCGTGAAACTGCCCCGCGTGTCGGCGATCACACACGCCACTTCCATTTTTGAAAACGTGAGACAATATAATTGAGAAAATCCTTCCCTGACGTTCAACCCGTCAGACCTCGGACGAGCCAGGGGTAAGACGCCAGAGATCCAGAGCAGGACTCGCGTCATGCATCGTGCTCTCAAGACGAGGCGCGTTCTCGTCCCAGCTGCCGGGAAGAGACCAGGATACAGCCGAACCTTGGGGCCCGTTTCCACAGGGTGGAGGAGGAGAGGACCAGGGCGGTCTGAGAGGTGGAGACGGCATCGGACGGCAAACAGACAACACGCTGCAAACCGGTCCTTGCTTTAGCGGCACGCCGGCAGTCCTTAAACTAGAAAAGCAACCGCCGAGGGCCGAGCAAACCCTGCTCTATCTCCACTCCTCAAGGTTTTCCCTTCCCCATCGCACAGCAGACGCTGTGCTCCTACCGCTGCTCTACCTGCCCGTCTGTTTACCGGGCAGAGTTTGACTCTCCCCTGCGCAGGCGTTTCCCAGCGACACTCGGAGGGCACCGGGACACTCTCCACCTCTCCCCGCCGGACGGTACCTCCGGTGCGAGCTGCTGGGAAACCACCGGACTGCGGGCTACCGGAGATGCACCGAGAACAGTTTCTTCTTTTTGCTCAACTTTTCTTCATTTTTAAACTTCATAACTTGAAAAAAAAAAAAAGTAAGTAGCACAATCATACAACTACGGGGGATTCCCTGTCTACTCATCACTAAAACCTAGAGAAACAGTGTGGGAGTGAGAGAACGTGGGGGAAAGAGAGAGAAAGAGTATGCACGCACTCGAGAGGCACACTGCAAATGGGCTGAAGCTAAAAAGGACCGGCATCAGACGATCCCAAAGCGTTCTGCTCTTTTCCTCTTCTTTGCCTGCAGAGAGGAATTACAAGGGGGATTCCCTGTCTACTCATCACTAAAACCTAGAGAAACAGTGTGGGAGTGAGAGTGCGTGGGGGCGGGGGAGAGAGAGAGTATGCGTGTGCTCGAGAGGCACACTGCAAATGGGCTGAAGCTAAAAAGGACCGGCATCAGACGATCCCAAAGCGTTCTGCTCTTTTCCTCTTCTTTGCCTGCAGAGAGGAATTACAAAAAAAAAAAAAAAATCAAAACCAAAGAGAAACAAACCGAGCAAGTTCTTTAAAATCTCACACAACCCGATGGGGAATTTATTAAGCGTCTGGTATCGGTAACCACACCGGAGCTCGGCGGCTCCGGCCCCCTTCCCGAGTGCACCGACACCACGTTCGCTCAAGGGAGCTACGAAGTTTTTATTCTAACGTTGGGACAAAGGGTGCCCCAAAATCAAGTAGCAGAAATATACAGTGCCTGAGATACAGTGCTGCTGAAGTCACTTCGTCTTGCTGGCAACGCGCTACAAAGGGGCTGAGCTGGGAACAATGACTACTTCAGAGGCCTGGAAACCCTTCCAGGCAGTGGGGAGGTGGGAAATGTAAAAGGGCAAAGGGTTAACACTCTCCTATTCATGGAAAAGGTGAGAGGGACACACTAAAACGCATTAAATATACTATTGCGTCTCTCAGATATGCCTTTAAGCCGATACACGAGGGGCATATAAATCTTAATTTTTAGCAGGATAAATAGCCCGGGGGCAACAGAAGCCCTAATCAAGAATCTCCAGGGGAAAGGTGCATTTGAGTGCACACAATACCAGTAAAAAGACCTTTTTGTTCCAGGCACAATCTCCAAGTGACCTAACGGAAAAGCATGGAATCCCTCGCCCAGCCACCCCCTCCGCGCGGGCCGGAGGGGCTCATTCTCCCATGCTCGGCAGAAGGCTGGGAACGCCGCTCCCCGCTTCACGCGGGGCAGCGTTTCTGCAGTAAACCCAAAACAAAACACACACACAAAAAGCAGCCCCTAAACCCCACCTGAATTGTTGAGATTGCTCTTAGGAACCAAACAAAACCCACTTCTTGTCTGCCGAGCCCAGGAGCCATCTGGTTAAGCAGTTTCCAAGACCCAACACTCGCCCTGCCGCAACCTTTGCCATTTGATTGTTAACGCGGGAGTCCCCACCCCGGAGGGGTCCCTTTGTCCCCAGGAGAGGGGTGCCCGACTCCGGCTGATCCGCACTGGAGCCGTATTTACGTGGCACCATAGGTGCGCGCGGCACTCCCCACCTAACAACGTAGGAGCTACCGCGCCGGAGCACAGCCTGCGTGGTGACTGGGAAGACTTTGAAGCAGAAGAAAGCGTAAAAGTACATAAAAGAGCACAAAATTGCCCTGAGGAGCTTACAAATTTAAAAGATGGGCCAAAACCACAGAGGACAGAACAAAGCATGGAGGAGAAAAGCTGGAAACAGGGTCAGCATCTCAATCCTCATTATATTGTAGAGTCTCCGGGGATTTATTGATGAAGACCTACGATCGCATCCAAGGGGAAGCAGAGGGTCCAGAAGCATCCAGGAGACGGGGAATTAGAGAGCACAAGGAGCAGATAGAGCGAGTCAGCTCAACCCGAGGGGAGGGGGAACCAGGGTGGGAGAAACCAGAGTAGAGCAGATGTGCCCCCCCGCCCCTTCTGGAAGCATCCGTGCCATCCTGCAAGAGGAGGAGCTGGATGCCAACACGTGCTGGCACGCTCCCGTGGCTCGGTAGACTCCAGAGCAGCCTACTTCCAGCGGGAGCCAGGGGAAAAGCCGCAACAGATCGGATGGCAGAAGCTCAACACTCACTGCCAAGGAAAAGAGGCCGAGCGGCCACAGGAGCACACCCACCCGCCGCTCGGGGCCAGCCCCACGCCAGCGTGGGGGACCCGGCGCTGAGCGAGGTCCCAGGTGTGCGGAGTCACGCTGCCACCTCCGGGACTGCCACTGCTCCCCTCAGCATCCTCAGCCGCTCCCCACCCGCTCAGGAAAAGGTTTTACCTCTGTGTCCTCTGTAGCTCCAGCCCCGGCTGAACTCGTTACAATGCCAAACCGCTCCTTTCTCTTCTTCAGTTTCTCGTCTTCTTCACTCTGGCACAAAGAAGGACGAAGATTTATTTTGTTGGCAATGCCCCAGGGTGCTTGTTTAACGCTAAATCCTGTTCCTCCTACCCCCACTCCTCCCGCAGTCGGCTACCAGAGCACCTGCTAAAAGTTGGAGCAAGGCAGCGGAGACGCCGAGAGCGGAGCGGGCTTCTCCTCCGCCTTGGCAAAGTGCACCGTCCGTAGGGGACGCGTTGCACGTGCTGGAGAAGAGCTCCTGCAGAGCACGTCAGGTAACGTGGGTGGCTCCGCTCCTTCAGCGGCGATCGATGAAGACACACAAGGGCAGCGTCCACCTACCAGCCCCGCGGCACGACCTCCTCAAATAAAGCCACAGCCCCCCTCAAGCCTGCCCATCCTCACAGCGCCGTATCGTCTTTGCTCTGAATTTCTTCACGCTCAAACCTGAGCACGAAGGAGGGTGGAAGGAAAGGACAGACGCTCGTCACAGCTACCGCGACAGGGCGCAGGTGGGCACGTGCAAAGGAAAATCCAGCCTCAGCAGCCAGAACCTCACCTCTGTCTGGATGTTGGTCTAGGAGGGATTTGGGGGAAGCACTGACAGCTGTCACAGGGACCTTCGCAATGCCCTTGGGAAAGCGAGCAGTAGGGACCTGACGGTCACCCCCACGGTACAGAGGCTGTGCCGCTTCTCTCGGAAACATTCTCATTTGGAGACGGAGGCTCGGCACTCGCTCTATCTTCCTAAGTCTCATTTCATTTATTTCCTGCCCGAGCGAGCAAATTTCTGCTGACATTTCCCGGAGCCTTCCGATCCCTGCTTCTCAAGGTTCTCCAAAAAACCTGGAGGCTTTTTACCTCCGCTGCCATCACCCACGCCGATGTCCTGATCGCCAGTAATAGCCAAACCCATCACCGCCTGTAAAAGCCTCAACGCATCCATTTTCTGCAGATTTATTCCTACCTCCGGCTGTTTCGTGCCTCTTTCAGGCCATTTCTACAGTTAAGGCTGCCTGATTGCTTTGCCAGGCTCCTACCGCTTCTCCCTCCCCTGTCATTAAGCACATCTCAGAGCTCTCACTCCCCACAACCCCATCCACCACAGCTCGTTATCCCGGGGAGCGCGGCTCACGAGCAGGCTCTCGCTCGCCGAAGGCTCCCCGGCCGCGCCGCCCTGATGCACGGCTTCCCACCGCGTTGAGGAGCCAGAGGTACCAACGCCATCGCCTGGGGTTCAGAGCAAGGGGCACCAGGCAGAAGGAGAACAGGAGCACCGTTTCCAAGAAAATACGCTTCAAGTCCCAGCGCTCCACCTGGATCAACTGGAATTAGCCGGCCAAGCAGAGGAATCGAGCTGGACGCTTATCCGTTTAAGCTCAAGGTCATAAACCGTGCCAAATTTGACCAGAGTGGCACCGGGCGCCCCGTTCGCAAGCAGCGGGGTAACCTCGCCGTGTCAACACCTTACATAAACGAGGCCACGGCGACCCGCTCAGCGCTATTACTCCCGACACGGACGTGTGTTGTGGCAACAGGGCTGGCCGAGGCGTTTGAACTGAAAGCTCCGAGCTTCTCACAAGCTCCAGCTCCGCAGGAAGCCGCCAGCAGCCGTGGCCCAAACACGTTTGATTCCCCCCGTGCGTTGCAGCCCCTGACGGCAGGGTCTGCTGCCGAACGCCATGGCAAGCGCTGGCAGCCCCACCGAGCCGGCAGCTTAACCTTCCTCCCCAGAAATCCTCCGCCCAGGACTGTTTGGAAGACGGCTCTGTGGTTAGGACATCGCCACCCTCGCCCACCTGCTCCGTCCTGCCGGTCCTCCCTTCCGTGGTTTGACAGTGAAGCTATGAGCGAAGGTTAAATCACCCTCGGCACTCCCTGCCCTCCCCAGTCCCATTTCATGGAGGAGGACGGAGGGGGACAGCAGGCACGCATCTGTCCTAGGCTCCCGTGGGGGAGCAGCCGAGAGCCCTCTCCCGACCCAGCACCCGGCCCAGGTTAGGATTACTCCAGCTTTCAGGAAGAAGCAACGTCCCAGAAAAAGCAGCGAAACTTGAGGGTTGCGAACAAAGGACGCCGGGAGGGATTATCATCACGGAGACAGGGAAGGGAAGGAAAAGTTGCTCGCTGGAGCAGCACGACGTACGCACAGGCTGTGGCCACACAAAGAAAATCCAACCTGTGCATTAGCGACATTAAACAGGCTCTTAAAAACCACCACTGCTGCCCGCGTGGTTTAAATCCCACGAGCAAGAGGATGGCCCCAAAGCCACTTTCAAGAAGAAAAGCGCTGTGTCTTTAATAAAAGGACATGGGAGGCTCCCAGGGACTGCACCGAGCTGTAGGTTTTTATTTATTTTTTCGGTAAGCCACCCCCCACGCCTCCCGCCCCCACCACTGCCCTGCAGGGAAAGCACATAACCGTCCTACTAAATCAACACGGTCCTAATGATCTCGCTCACTTGACCCCCTAGCACGACAGTGTCAGATGCAAACACGCGTACAATAAACTTCACTCCATCTTTAGCTTCTCGCTGACAGGTTTTGATTCATGGGGTGCTGAAACCCATCTGAGGAAAATTACCTCTATCAAAACGCTGCTATCTCTGCATCTATCAACCCCTGGTAGTGCCCCGGGGCCGTGCTCCGGCGTGCAAATGGGTGCACCAGCATCTGCAGGGAAAGCTGACCTTTCTGGCAGGATGTCAGATTTATTTTCTAACCTTACTATTTCTAGGCTTGTTCCCTTTGCACTCACGCCACGATAGTTATTTTGTAGTTTGTCTAAAAAAGGGGGGTGGGGGAAGGAAGAGGGGGGGGAAAAAAAAAGCGCTTTTATGAAGGACTCCAAGCCCTGAAGCCAAGTCTTTCCTGCGATCTGGTAACAAGGAGCATTTACACAAGCGTATGGACGTATTTGCGCTGCGCTCT